GGGGGGCCGCGCGCTGGGGGACGGCTCCCCGAAGCCCGGTGTGAACGGCAGGCACAGCAGGGTGGGCTCCGACCCGGTGCTGCTGCGGAAGCCCCGACGCCACGACCCGCCCTGCGAGGGCGCCAAGGTGAGCGCGGGAGGGCGCGGAGGGCGGGACGAGAGCCCCAGGGGGTCGGTGCAGAGGGCCGGAGCGGCGGGTTAGTTTTAACGTGTAGACACTAGACAGTCGCCAGAGAGTTCCCTCCCTCCCTTATTTCATCCGCCAGAGGTTTGTTCCACTAATAACTGAACAATCGGATGGCAGAATCAGCATGCTATTTTTTAGTTCTCCCCAGCTCTATCAAAGTTGAAGTGTGTGTGTGTGTGTGTGTGTGTGTGTGTGTGTGTGTGTGTATAAGGCACTTATACTTTAGGCAGTGATGTTAAAAATTATAAAGCTGGACAGGGCATAGTGTTGCACACCTGCAGTCCTAGCACTCTTGAGGCTGAGGCAGGAGGATCATCGCCAGTTTGAGGCCAGCCTGGGCTAAACAGTGAGTTCAAGGTTATCCTGAACAACCTAGCCAGACCCTGTTTCCAAAAACCAACACCAACAACAACAAAATCGCAAAACTTGTCTTCACTCTTAGAAAATAAGTTCTGTCCCGCCTGAAACTGAGATGTTCAAGCTTAAATTCTGACATAAAGACCATGTCCACTGTCATTTATTTGTACAAGTTGGGATTTAAAGGCCCTGGTAATGCCCTAGGCAAAGAGGTGCTGTACTGTAGTGATTTCTGGTGTTCCCTTTCATGTTTCCTGTGTGCAGTCAGAGCATTAGTACCTCCCTCTACTGCAGGAGTTTTTTCCTCTTTTGAAATTGTAATATTAAAGGGATGCCATCTCTACTGCTCATAAATGGTCATTTTAAGAGGTTGTTTTGGTCAGTTAATCTCCTAACACATTCAGGAATCAAAGTGCTCAGTTCGTGTGTGCATGTCTGCTGTGATAGAGATAAAGAAAACTTTGTATAAGGAAATAATCACTGTTGGTGTATCAGCACTGTTCCAGGGCAGCCAGAGAGGAAGAATGGATCTTTCAAACGCGGCACTGCAGACAAGGAAAGAGGGGTGCATGTCCTGGTTACTTTCCTCTCATTGCTGAGACAAAATGAATTAAGGAAGGAAAGGTTTATTTAGCTCACAGTCGGTGGAGGTTTCAGTCCATACCCAGCTGGCTCCAAGGCAGGGTGGCACATGGCAGAGGGCAACAGTTCCTGGCAGTGGAAAATAGCAAAAGCAACAAGAGCAAACGGGAGGAGGGCAGCAAGCAGCCTCTTTCTCTCTCTTGCAAATTATCCGCCCCAGGGCAGGTGTAGCACTCACACCCGTAATCCCAGCATCGGACCATGGATCAGTCATAAATCTAGAAGCCGCCCACGACTGCGTGAGGATTTAGGGGGGCATGCGGACACACACCGCAGCAGTGGACTTGCTGGGACTGCCAGTGGCCCCCCTTGGTACCTTCATCCTCACCTGCTGCAAATAGGAGGCTCTCTAAAAGTTTCCTGATGGTCACCTAAATATGACTGTAACTTGTAAGAGAAGGAAGTGAGAGAGCAACTCGATAATGTTCTCTAAAAATGGAGAGCCAGCCCTCAAAAGAATTTTCTACAGCCTAGAATCCTGACTGGTAGAATTTGCTCTTTTAAAGGCTTTTCTCCTTCAGCCTCTGTTCGTGGCTGCTTGATCACACTTGAGTGGAGCTTAGGAACAAGCTCTAACATGAGCGGATTGATCAGACTTCAGCACGTTACAGGATATGAGGTGTGATCATAAAATACAGTGAGTGTACCTTTTAACATATTGTTACAGTGAAACACAATGCCATTCCTCCCTCTCAGATCCTCCCCCTGCTTTGAACACCCTCGCCCCATCGTGAAGCAGTTCCAAAGCCCTCTTTCATGTCTTTAGTTACACTGTCTTGGTTGATGTCCTGACTCAATTAAAGGCATTTCCCATTCACAGTCATTATGACTTGGGGAAGGGCCGGAAGTCACCGGTGCCAGCTCTGGTGAATAATGTGGGTGAGGACACACCATAAAGCTTTCATTTGACAGAAAGAGCCCCACAGAAGGGATGTGGGTTTTTTTGTTTTTTTTTTGTTTGTTTGTTTTTTGGTTTTTCTCTGGTACCGGGAACCGAACTCACAACCTTGCGCTTGCCAGGCAGGCGCTTTGCCGCTGAGCTAAATCCCCAGCGCCCCCACAGAAGGGATGTGGACGGCATGTTTAGAACGGAGGATGAGCCTGCCTGTTTCTCAGGCAGTTTTCTACACATCCGCCTGAAGTGACAGGCCCTTACGATACTCAGCAGCGCCATAGTGCTGCCGGGTAACACTCGGCTCACACAGTTCCACCAGGGTCAGAAAACACGATCTCACACTGACCATGAATCTTGATTTGTGCGCTTCATTTGCGTAAGGAGAACTGGGTGATTTCCACTGAAAATTCTGAACTCTCGGGATCATACCATAGACCCAACTTTCATCGACATGATGATTTTCTTAAGAAGCTGGAATCCGAAGCGGCTGGATCATGCAACTGCAAAGAAATGGGTTTGTGGTCCATGACTTACTGCACATTTGAAGGCACGACCAACTTGCTGCAGCGAAGAAGTGGAAGCGTGTCATACTTGGTCACTGAGGTTGCGTGCCGCTTCTCGTTCAGGCCTCGCTGCTTTCCGCTGGGGCTCTCGGCAGCAGCTTTCTCCCTACTTCTGTAAATCACACCTTGCATTCCTGAGTGAACTTCAGAAATACTTTGAATATTATAATTATCATAGTTCATTGAAGGCCTCTGCCTCAGGGTTCTGTTAGCAAGTGTAATGTATTAACGCTAATGTAAGGCTGCCCTTGTAACCCCTAGAACACTGGCTGTTAACTTGTTAAAGGGATATGATAGTTTCAAAAACTGGGGTGACACTTTCTTATATGTGTGGGTTTTATTTTATTAACTAAAATGTTGTTTAGTTCTAAGATGTCCTCATTAATTTTTCTTAATGTCTAATCTCATGTGTTGTGTTAATATTGCAATGCTTATAGCCTGAAAGTTAATTTCATATTACAACTAGAATGGGCATTTCAACTAAATTAGACTTCTGCTAAGATACCTAATTTTTACCTAGTTACATGATCTCTCAGGTAGGTTATAAAGAAGGATTTATATATAGTTGATGCATTTAGTTCTATAAAACAGACTGTGTGTCAACTTTTACTAACTTGCTGGAGGAAAAGTGGTTCTACTGTAATAGACCACGGGGAATATCACAGTTTACATACAGTAGAGGAGGCAGTGTTCTCCTTCTCGTTTGGCTGAGGAGTAAGCTAGCTCTAGGTAACAACTGACGTAACACCAAGTCTGCCTAGGGTCAATCCTGCAGTTCTTTTTCTGGGATTCTGAGGTGGAGTTTGTTACCAGGCTCTGGGGTTAGACCTGGACTTCATTTCTTGCTCTAGAATTTCCTGGTTTTGTGAATGTGAGCAGCATACCTCATCTTCACCTACCACTGACCCCACGTAGTCTCCTTCCTTTACCAAATGCAGTGCTCATGATACCTGGGTTAGGGTTAGGGTTGGTGTCCACAAGGCTAATGAGCCGTCGCTTACCTAACTTACTGCATCTGTTTATCTGTGACTAAGTTCAAAATAACTCTCAGGTGCAGGGCATCAGAATAAGCTGTAATTGCTGTTATTTTCATTCGTAATTGTCTTTTAAAAAATTAACTTCTCTTTCCCACTGTCCTCTTAGCCTAGTTCCTGCCGCATCCCTGGTAAGCAGGCAATAACTTGGTTGCTTTTGTTATACTGCGTAAGCCGAGGATAGAGGCCAGAGAATGGGTGTGTGCTGGAGTTCGGTTGGCGATGGACAGGCCGAGAGGCGCCTGCAGGGGCGCAAACACCCACGTCACCTTGGCATCGCTGTCCTAGCTGAGGGAAGGCATGACTTCCCTGTTTAAAACATGTACTTTGTTCTCTTTAGAAGAGCATTAGTTTTAGACGGTCGATCACATATAAGTAAAGCAGAAAGGATGAAGAGGGAGGGAGCTGATTTTGGTGTTTTAAAAAGACTGGGATTTCAGTGAAAGCTGTAAATGGTAACAGTCTTGGCAGCCTTCACTGCTAGCGTACACTTTGTGGCTCTGATGAGTTTTGTTTGTGTGGAGATTCACGTATGTGGAGTGTCGTGGTTTATCCTTCTGCGGGCCACCGGTTTCTCTAAAAATAAGCAAGTGTACTTTTTGGGAAAACAGGAAAAGTGCTATGGTGAATGTTTCATTAGAGTTAACACTTCAAGATAAATGTCATCTGTCTACTTTCAGGAACACGGAGATAAAGTGTAAAAGGACGAGAGTGAAATGTGCGAATGGAGTAGCGCAAGGGGATCTAGGGAGCTGCATGTCCTACGGGTGCGCGAGGGCGCGCTCCTTCCCTTGCCTGCCTCTTGGCCAGCTGCCCGCTCCGCTAGAACGCTGGCCTCCTTCGTTTCCATCTGCGCCAGGCCAGCAACCAGGGGACGAGAGCAAACTCTGGTTACTCCGTTGGCTGATCGTAGAGCGCTCTCGGGGAGACCCCTAATTCATAGTTACACTGAAGCGGCAGCATTTTTCATGCTGCTCTTTCACTTCCTTTTCCTTCCTCTCCTACCCAGCATAATCAGAAGCCTTAATTTCAGTATGAATCTATGCGCTAAGAGTTTCCAGGGTTACTTGTCTCTTGTATTGCTAAGAGGCTTCCTCTCTGAAAGTAATGTTTCCATTCTCTAAGATTCTAAGATTCCAGCCACGTTTCAGATCTGTTGCTTAGTAAATCCCTCACTGGGTAGATATTTATTATTATTAGTTTGAGGTGAAATTATTTATACTAAAATGTTTTAAAATATGAGTAAAAACTTGGAAGTTATTTACTTTTAAATATAAACGTTGTACCCCGCTATCGTTAATTGTTCCCTTTGAGGGGTTCCTGAGACTGCTGTTCCTTATAGGATAAAAATTATCTTGAACTTGTCACATTATTGACGCTGCCATTGTTTTCAGCTTGTCATATGTGTAATAATCTCTTGAAGATGCTGCTCGATTAGTAGGTCACATG